TAAACTGCACTTTTGGTTTCATTTAACATTTTCAAAATAGCTTTCCTTACCACTGCCCCTCCTCCCCCCACCCCTTACCGACCCCCTTCAAAAAACTGGGAAAGTTCTGTGTTTAGCACTGAACTGAAAATCATTTATATGCCTCAGAGTAACAGCAACATTTTTCTTTCTAAATTTCTAGGGGGAAAAATTTCCAAGTTATCACAAAGCATTTTTCATTTCCCCCCCCATCCAAAATACCTAATCTCGTTGTAACTAGACTCCATCTGAACATCAATGATCCTGAGCCATTCCATGAATAAACATGATGTTACAACTGGAAACCGTGGGACTGAACTATGAAAAAATGAAGCCCAAAGAAAAGACTGGGAGCCCCCATCCCCTCCCACATCATCCCCAGGGAGTTTGAGCTGAGAAGGGGTGAAAAGCAGCAAGTTTAAATTCCAAGGTCTCTGGCCATTTTTAATGTTCCTGTTAAACCCCGCAAAACTAAAAACTGTAGTTCTAATAAAACCCTGGTGTGTGCAGCTTCCAAATGCAATCAGTTTTCTCTTCTGGAGTGAGGTGTGTAATACTGATAAAAGAAAAAAAAACTCTCAAAAGGGAAGAAATACAGATGAAACCCATCCTTCTCTGATGTTTGTGGTATTTTATTCAAATGAGCATCCTGACAACATGAAAAAATATACTTAAAAACATCCTCACTTAACATGGAGACATTTTTTATCATTTGAATGAGGAAATGGCATAGGAAAGTTGTCAACAACAGGATGTTTATAACTCTACTTGATAAAAGTTTTTAGGTTCTGTAACGATCCAACATTAGTTAAATCCCGTCACTACGAAGGTCCCTATGACGTGCCCCTGTTTTCCCTATATTTTCATCTCATAGCACAAACCTCAGGAAATGAAAAAAAATAGTTTCTGTTGCTCTGGGAGCTCTTTACAAGACAAATTCTGAACTCCGTGGAACATATTTTCGTATCCTATCTGGTGGTCCTCTGGTGTGCAGGATTAAACTATACAACTGCGTGGTTGTGTTCTTCCAGAGTACATTCGGCTCAGCAAGCCCATTCCAGTGCTTGAATTTTCAAAGACACCAGGTCAATTCACAGTGGCACATGCAACAGCAAAGCAAATGCCTTCCCACTGGCTGGGAATTGCGGTGACCAACAGCATGACACAAATCTCAGCATCTTTCTTAACTTCATTTAAAAAGGGGGCAAACACCCACCCATTTCTTTATGAAATTCCACTGAGATTCTGAATAGGCAAAGACATCCTATTTGCCAGAACAGCCAACAGCATTGAAAACTTCGTTTTTGTTTTTGTTTACTTTTGCGATGCATCCATATTCCTTTAAAAGGAGATGAGGTTCTGTAATCTCTTAGACCCTTGCTTTCTTTTGCCACAAAGACTAGGGATCTAAATGATCTCATGATAAAATAGGTGCAGAGAATGCGGGGGGGGGGGGGCCCTTTTAGGGGAGTGGGTAGCAGATGCCCACAGCAGCTTCAGGAGTTGCCACATTCCCAAGGGCATCACAATTGTGTTTCTCAGGCAAGGTGCTAATAATTTCAACACCAGAGTTCTCAGACTCTCTCTCTCCCCTTGCATGTACTCCATCATGGATCCGTGGGCTAGTTAAATGTTTACTGAGTACTGACTTGGTTCCAGGAACTCCTTGCTCCAAGGGCTAGCTTTCAACGAGACTGGCAGGGTCTCTGTCTTCAACATTTCTACCACCGTCATTACCCAGATTGTTTCAGGACCATTTGTGATTTTGAACTAAATACCAGGAGCAAAGAACCCATGTCTGCACTCTTTATTCTAGTTCACAATACTTTCTCACACCCAGGAAAAGCAACCGGGGACTGGGTGGCATAAGAGTTTTTTAACTCAAGGGCATTGCAGGAAATTTGCAGATGAGGAACCAAGATCCATACCAACCAGTTAGTAAATTACAGAAACAAGTTTGAAACAAGATTAATGCCCAATCTAATGCTCTTTAAACTAAAACTACCCAGCCTCTGAAGGGCTTTGATTTGACTTCACTGGAAGAAATGCATAAATCCCCAGGAGAAATGCCCTGGGGGTTCGCAATGAAAGGGGAGCAGAGAAACACCAGGGTTCTTCCAGACTTTCTTTCCTTTCCATAAAAAAATGAAGGTGCCAGGAAATTTCTCCGGACTTGATTATAATTTACTCATCACAAAAGGACTAGCTACAATGCCTTTCTAGCCAAGCCCATGTTCAAAAGGAATGGGGAGTTGAGAACATTCCCCACGTGTGTGTGTGTGTGGGGCTGGTATTGAGCCAAGGAAATGATAGAAGGTAACATAGGACCCAGAGCCAGGAGCGAGAGGAGAGAGGCCGAGTCTCTCTTTCCCAAAAATGGTTGGATGCATTGGTTAAATTCTCAGTGTAATTGCTCAACAATCTATTTGATTTTGTGTGTGAATAAATTGGTAACCCTTGCTGGGTATTACTGTATTTTATCCTGACCAATCCCTCCCTGGGTCAGAATAACTATCATAAATAATCATCTCTGGGAAAGGCACAAAAGTGTAACTTTTTCATGAAAAGTTATTTGTTTCTAAATATTTTTTCCAATTACAAACCATGATTCAAGTTTAATGTGAATATTTTAAATACCTTAGGGGCAATGATGTGATTCTCTCCTTTTTTCATATAAAGTGAAAAAAAAAATGGATGGTCTTGGGTTCTGACATTATTTACTGCTTGGCAAAGGAAAAGGCAGTGCCAGTCACTACTTGGCCAATTAAAGAAAAGATCTCAATTATAGGGGATAAGTGTTCAAGACTGACTCTAGAACACACCAAAAGAACAGTTAAGAGTGCTTTTCTGTCCCAGCCAGAGAGGTTTACATCAGTGTTTAAGACTCGTCATAGCAAACTTTCCTTCCCAGGTTCTTGAGTTATGAAGCAGTTTTTTTTTTCAACTCAGAGGCAATCTTTAAAAGTAATATCCGCAATGCAAAGGTTAGGAATACCTGAGTCGAGCTCTCAAAAAATAAATAATAAATAAATAAATAAATAGGTAATGATGTGCCATTTTTAAAAACATACCATAAGTGGAGGGCTTTTCGAGGGTTTTGTCTCACATGAGAAATAAAAGTGGGGACCCTGGTGCACCCCAAAGGTTCGGATCAGGCTGGGTGGAGGAGTCCCCCAGACGGAGCTCCCGGCCCCACCCTGGCCGAGTGGTCAGTAAGGGGCACCAGGGGACACGGACACCAAAGGAACCCGCCTTCCGCCCTAAGCAAGGAGGATAGGAAAACAGCCTGGTTCTGCAGCTCCCCCAAAACTTTCCAAAATGTGACGGGGACACAGGTTATTTTTAAATCCTGTTGTTGCTCTTCCAGAGTTGAGCCATAATGGCTCCTGGTCTCTCTTGCAACTGGTCACGTTTCTAAGACGTATTTTGCCTCAAATTTATATGGCAATTAATGTGCGCATGAACCCGAAGACATGTTTTATCCTAATTCTGAAAGCAGGTGACGACGGCCAACAGTTTAGGATTCCAGCACCCAGTTGCCAGGTCTGCATGATATACACAAACTATAACACACAACTACACACACGACAGCACACACAAATGTCACTGCCTGCCCAAAACTCACCACTCTAAGCAAAACAGTTTATACTTCTGTAAAGCTACTGACTTCCAGGGAAAGCGACACTTCCATGATTTACAGTTAGCATCTAGGAGGTATTAACATATGAAGAACACAGCAGTGATAAAGACAACCTAGTTTAAAAAAACCAAAAACATCAGTCCTTGTGCTGCACTGGGCCAATCAGAAAGCAGGTCACATCTTGCTCGCTGCATTAAATACAGGCAACGCCAGGGATCCTCCAGGGTTCTCTTGACAGTTCATGCCAGTGTGTCTTGTTTTACCACACGACCTTAGCTGGGTTCCTTTCCAGAGTTGAGAGTCAGTCTGCAATCTCACGTTCCACCTGAGCTATTCTCTAAAAGCTCGTTGTATGCACACTCCGGGGATTTGATCACTACAGAGAAGACTGAAGCCCCAGCGATTTCTACTTCCTGAAGTAACTTTGCTGCACCTATAACAAACTCCTTCTCACAACACTTCAACACAAAGCCCCAACGTCCAGGCAAAGGGAGCAGGACCTGCCAGCTGAGCCAGCACAGAAGGAAAGTCTACTGGCATTAAATATTTAAATTGCAGGAGGCAGCCCGGAGTTTTGCGTTTAGAAAGTTCTGAAAGTGCTGTTCTCTCGACTCCCAGAGTTGCCCGCCCAGGAGAATGAGGCTCCCTCTCTCAAGACAGAAAATCACAAATATGCAAAAACTCAAGTTGGCTTGAAGGTTGAGCCAGCTCCTGGGGAAGGTAAGACAGCCCTCAGGAGGCACTCCCATCCCATCCCGGACAGGACAGAGTCAAGAACCCCTGTGCCCTAAGCAACTGGTTTCTGAATTTAACAAGGAAATCTACAAACATGTGCCCCCTCCCACTCCAGGCTAGTTTTGAAAAGTACACAGGGTTCCTCTTCTGCCCCCTCCATTTCAATTTGGACGACTTTAAAGAAAACGAATGCAGGTCCAAGCTGACTTCCTCTGGGATTTGTTAAAAAAAATATTTTGCCAGATGCAAATGATCACCAAATCCCTTGGAATTATATCTCAAGACACACTCACGGGACTGACCCTGAGCCTCCAAACCCAGGAGTTCTGGGACCGCAGCATTTCTGGGGACCCGGCACGCGAGTCAAGTGCTGGGTTGTCTATTGCAAGATTCCAGCAGAAACTGCCCCAGCTCCAAGAGTTGCTGCGCCTGGAAATCCAGCGTTCAAACTAGTGGGTTCATCCTGGCGCTCATTTCCACATACGTGGTAGTACCAAGTGGGACACTTCCCACAGAATTCAGCCGGCAACCCCGGGAAAACCCCGGGCACCATTTCATTAAAAAAAAAAAAGACACACGAACACAAGCCCGAGGTTGAAGTACTTACCTCTGTGCGAGACTGCAGTCTCTTGTTCATCTCGTAGATTCGGTACTCTGGCTGTACCATGTATGGTGTATGTCTCCTATAAAATGGGCCGAAAGGAGAAGAATAGAAGGGGTCATGGGGCGTGCTGGACATCTTGCCTGCTTGTCGAAAATCAAGCTCAACAGAGTATCAGTAACGTCCATGCAGAGCACATGGGCTGCGTTCTTCGCAGTACAAAGTAGACGCACGCACACGCGCTCACACACACACAGCGGCAGGCAAGGCAGGCAGGCAGGCTGAGCACACTGGCTGCGATCTGCTCCCGGAGCCCTCTGTAGCGAGCTGGAGCGGAGCGGAGCCAGGGGAGGGGGGAGGGCGGGAGGAGGAAGGAGGGAGGCAGGGAGGGCGGGCGAGCACGGAGAGGGAGCTAGCAAGAGCTCCGGGAGGAGGGAGGGAAGGAAGGAAGGAGGGAGGGAGGGAGGGAGGGAGGGGAGAGAGAGGGAGGGAGGGAGGGAGGGAGAGGAGCTGGATAGCTTTAGGCACCACTGCTTGTTTTTAAAGAAGCAGTTTGTGGAGAGGTCACTTCCTGTCCACACTGTAGACTAGTTCAAAAATACAATTCTCCTCGCAGTCTGACAGAGGTCTAAGGTTTGGTTTTAATTTTTTTCCTCCAGCCAGGACCCTTCACAATCTGATTGCCAAGCTTGTTAGCATATAGGTGGTTCAAGGGGCTGCCTGAGCCACTCACCCCTGACAGCCACACTGTTGCCACGCATCAGAATGTATTGCTACAACACACAGAAACACGCAACCCCCGCCCCCGCGGTCCCCCACACGTGAGCTGGTGATTCACTCACAAGCGAAGACTTCCCTCTGCACTAACCTCTCATGTAGTTGTGTTTCCACTTGCTGGTGTTCCAAGAGCTGGTCCCAGTCTTCACCTTTCAAGCCCTCCTCACCCCCACCCCTCCCGAGTCACCCTCCCTCTTCTCAGCCCCGCCCCCTCCTCCAAAGCTTCCTTCAAGCAAGCAGGTTTAAGGGGTCCTGGATTCAAGGTGCCTAAACATTGTCAGGTGGAAACAATGATTGGGAATATGGAAAGCCTGAGATATGCTCATGGAGCAATGGTCTTTTTTTCCCCCCAGGAGGATAAAAAAAAAAAATCCCCAATAGCAGACCTCTCAATAAGAGAGAAAAAGCAAGAAGAAAACTTCCACAAAACTGACTGTGGAAAATTCAGTTCAGGGCAAAATCACAAATAATTGAATGGCTCATCCCCAAACAACATATCCAACTCTGATGGAGTTGGGTCTTTATTTTCCAAGATTGGTCAAGTATATAAGTCTTTTCCCAAACGTGCTATACGATAACGGGAAGAAAACAGCCCACGGGAGGGAAAAGAATCTCTGTAGAGAATGGAATTATCTATGTGGCGGTCGGATTCTGCTGGGGCCAATGATAACCAGATCCATACATACCCCTAAACAAGGCTCAGACACAGAAAATGGAAATGTGTTGAGCTAATACCCAGCTAGGTCAGTAGTATTAAGGAGAGAAAGCAAAGACCACCAAAAGCAAGAGGCATGCAAGACCTGAATGTAAATGCATGCAAATGAGACATTTCTTCTTTTCAATAAGCAGATTAATTAACTTTCTGCCCCACTCACGGCTGGGGGTATCTCCAAGTCACTAGCCAACTGGGGATAAGGTATTGCTAATTCTGCAATTTACACTCAAGAATACTCAGGCATAGAGATGCCCCCAAATCACTGTCCTCCTTGGTCCTTTTCCATGACTGACCGAAGCGTTTGCAGAGTCCACCCCAAACGTCCAGGGCAGTCCAACACAACCCCGTGGCTTTGCCAGGAGAGCTTAGAGAGGCACTGTGCTAAGGCTGCTTGGAACTTGCCAGAGAAGACCCTGAGGCAGGCCAGCATGCTTGGTTTCAGGTTTCATGACAAATCCGAAAGCTGGATCAGATTTGCTGCAAGGTTTGTCAAAACACACAACCTTCCAAAGACAGGATTTCAAATAAATTTGGCATGATTTATGCTTTGGAAGGATGACCACTGCAAAACCTAATGGTTCCCTGTGTTTAAATCCCCACACTAAAGACCTTTCCAAGAGCTTAGTGCCTGCCTGGGTTTGTGTTTACCGGGCTGTTTCAGTGCAAGAATCAAAGTAACACCTAGCAGGTGTGTGAAGCCCACTATTGATCGAAAAAAGGAAAGCTCAAAAATCCATTTAGGGAACCCCTTTCTGAATGAAGTTAAGTTTTTCATTTACTAATTCTTTCAGACTATTCCATGTTATAATTGGAAATATTCCTTCTCGTTAATAGCTAATGCAAATTCAGAAACACCTAAAACTTTATAATGTTTGGTCTATGTTGTTTCTCAACCCTCCTACTCCACAAGTCTCCAAACTGGTGTCCCTGCCCCCAGATTCCCAATTCACTTCTAACTTGGGATTTGTTCGATCAGAATGTTTACTATAGAAAAGGAAAATTGATCATGTCCCATGTTTTCCCTTCAGTGTCTTCCTGCTGTGCATAGGAAAATGTCCAAACTCCTTAGCACGTGTCACAGAGCTAATTCTCTCTCTCTCTCTGCCCCCAATGTCTCCATGTCTCATTCTCTGTCTCTATCAAACACAACACACACACACACACACACACACACACACACAATTAATTAGCTACATATGATCTTTCTGAAGTTACAATCTCATTCCACGAATGTATGCCTTTGTTCCTTGTTTACCTGAAAAGTCCTACTCATCCTTCTGTCCAATTAGCGTGTCTCCTCCCCTGTGAACCTTCTTTCACGCCCATTCATTAAGTTCTAGGTCCCGCAGCTCTGCCTCTCACTGTGGCTGTGGGCGCAGGTTATAGTACCAGCCTGGTGCATATTTCAACCTTGATTACGCCACGTACTTGCCCTGGGAACTTGAGCAAGTGACTGGACCTCTTTGTGCCTCCATCCCTTCATTTTTTAAAATCAAGGACAATGGCAGTAATAACCCATAAGATTGTTGCAAAAAATTAGATGAAACGCCACCCTGGGATGTTTTAGAACCCACACGTGAATGCTCAATAATGTGATTCTTTCTTACCAAATGTGGCTGACCCTTGAACATGTTCAGCATTAGGAACACCAGACCTCCAGGAAGCTGAAAATCTGTGTACAACTTTTGACTCTCCAGTCAGCTCTATACATCCACCAGTCCCACCAACGGTGGACATAAAACAGTATTTTTGCATTCCAACTGCAGGGGTACAATGGCAAACAGAAAATACTGTTTGGGGACCTGCAGATCTGAAACCCATCGATAGGAAGGGCTGACAGTAGTTACCCGGAAAAAAATCATGTATCAATGCACTTGTGCAGTTCAAACCCGGGTTGTTCAAGGGTCAAATGTAAATGCTTCGGCGCTAAGGAACATGGGGAGGTCAAGGTGAACACAGCAGATAAACTCTCTGCCTTCTTGTGCCCTGAAACCAGGTTGGGGGTGGGAAGAGACTATGTAGAACTAATAAGCATTTGGGAACCTAATTGCAAATTGCAGTAAGTGTCATGAGGGCAATAAGTAAAAGAAAGAGATGGAAAATAATTCACCCCTTCGGGTCATCAGTGCATCTTCTGTATTCTTCTGTTAGAGAATTCACGTGCAAACATAGTGATTGCTGTCATTTGCGAAGTACTCACTGTGTGGCAGACACTCTGCTGTGTGGTTTCCGCAGATGGTCTTTGTTAATCTCACAATAGACCAATGTGAATAATTTCATTGCTCTTCCCATTTTACAGAGACAGAAACTGAGGCATTGAGATGTTAAGAAACTTCTTCAAGGTCCTGGAATTAGTAAGTGAGAGGGACAAGATTCACACCAGTCTGCCTGGGTCTTAAGCTCAGGTTCATCCTCATCTTTGGGGCATCTCTGCTCTCTGTCCTTAGTGGCCAGCGTGGAACTGAGCCCACAGTAGGTGCTCAAGCCATCCGTACCCCATTAACTAGAAGAACAGGCAAGAGGATGAAGTGGCTCTGATCATCACGGTCTTGTTCTTTCTCCTGTTTCATTTCAGACGTCTGTTGTCCGCAGCTCCCACTTCCACCCATTATCTTTGAAGCCTTGCCAAACTGCTCCTGGTGTTTCTTTCCCTTGTTCGAAACCTTCTGACGTGCTCTCCCGAAGCTGCACCCATCAGGTGACCTGCTTGTTTTTGCCACTTGTCTGTCTGTCCTGCTTCCTTGCTTCTGGAGGGACCAGCAAGGAAGGTCTGGTCTATGCATTGTCTCCTCATCGCCCAGGACTGGGCCTGAGAAGAAAAACAAATGAAGTGCCCGTTGTAGGCCTGCAAATCCTGTCCTTTGAAAACCACAGAGAAATCCACGAGTCCATTTGTATACCATAGACAAATGAGCAGGCCTAACCCCATGTGACAGTTCCTTTACCCCCAAAGCCGGGACCAAGCTGGATGACATATAATTTTGCATGTTGAGTATTGAATAAGCTCCCCAAACAGCTCATCTTGCTATATTTAGCTGAGGTGTAGTAACCCAAGGAAAAGTGTTTATTTTTCCTTTAATGTGAAATGCTTGCCAACAGTTCACAAAAATCTGGAATTTCACATAAAACCCAGATGTCCATCTTCTCTGGAAAAATCATAAACCAGGGCATCCCTGGGTCCCATCACTGCCTGCTGTCCGTCTGTGGCTGAGGGGCAGTCAGCAAGTCTGGCCGTCCCCAAGAGCAGGGACACCTGGGTCCGCCTTGCAGTTTGGGGGACGTCTTGGATTTATTGTACTTCCTTGCAGTGCTCCCTGCCATTCTCTAATGTCCTCTTGCCTAAACCAAATCTAATAAGTAGTCGGAATGACTAAGGAAGGCCAGAGAGCCAATCATTTCTGGGGTGCCAACAGGAAGCACCGCCCCATAGCCAGGACCATTCGGCATTCTTTAACCATCTCACAAGTGGTCCCTGAGTGTCCACTGTGTGCTGGCCCTCCTCTCTCAGACCCCGTGTGATCAGGCCCCTCCCACTCCCTGGTCACATCTGTGTTTCTCTTTCCTCTCGAGACACCTTTCCGCTGCACTCCCAGAACACTACAAACTCTTTCCCCTAGACTCTAGAATCCCGTCTCTTTGCCCTTGGCAGGGCTAACTCATCCTTAGCCTTCAGTTTCAGCTCAAGATGTTCCATCCTCAGGGAGGCCATCCATGACCGAACTATGACCGAACTATCTAAACAACCTCCCGTGCTCCATCACTGAGCCTGGTTAGTGTAGGTCGCTAATGCTGACTGCCGTGTGCGATCACTTCTGCATTAGCCATTTACCTGAATGCTCCCTCCCTGTGTCCCCCATGAGATTGTAAATTCGTGAGTGCTGATGGTTGTCCAGGTA